TAATACAATCAATCTCTTTATAGTTATTATACTTGGAAAAGCAAAATTGGATGACTATAAAGAGATTTTTTAATTATAGTTAATTATTAAATAGCTGAAAAACTCAAAAAAGATGACTATAAAAAAATGTGATTATAAGAGATGTAACTATAAAGAAGTCTGACTGTATTTTTTTATCTTAATTTTATATAATATATATTCTGATAATATATTGCTTATTCTTATTATTGCTTTATATATTATATTTCTTTTTTACTATAATACTCCTAATATAATATATGATTTATATACACATTATGATTGAATATAATCATTAGCAATAAAATTGAGAATTTAGAAGATTTTAGCAAATGAAATTATTCATTTAACAATTTAATTGAAAAATTATTCATTTAACAATTTTTTTCACCGTAGTATAAAAATTACGTTTTTTTTTCGAATTTGATTGGCTATTTTGAATGTTCGATTACGAAAGACTTTCATTATTCTCATTAACATTAACTCCGGCCCGCACTATCTATAATGCCATGTGGCCAAAAATTCTCAATCATATTATAAAATATATAAATTCATAATTTTTAAAATATATTAATTGTAAGCTATTGTTTCATTACTAGAAAAAGATTTTGTGCGGCACTGTATTACCACTGGAAATCTACACGAGTCTTGTGTAACAAACATAACACCAAGTGTCGTTAGATCTTTTACGACACGTGATATATATCAAAATATTTTTTTTGATAATATTCTGTTAAAAATAAAAAATGGGCTCAATTGAAGAACAGATTCCACCACCAGATCCAGACGTAGTTAAAGTATCAATTTTAGGTTCCGAATCGATTATCTTGGGTTTTCATTTGACCGATTATATGCTTAGGGAAATAATTCGGGAAATACCCTCGCCAACTTATGTTCTAATAACTGACGAAAATCTTGCTCCAATTTATTTATCGAGGATTATTACCCGATTTTCCACGATTGCTACTGAATCATCATTCGGCAATGCTACCTCATCACGATTAATCACCTATACAATACCTCCAGGCGAACAATCAAAATCACGTGCAATTAAAGCTCAAATTGAAGATTTCCTTTTTGACCAAGCTTGTACACGAGACACTTGTATTCTTGCAATGGGTGGAGGAGTAATTGGAGATTTAGTGGGATTTGTAGCAGCTACTTTCATGCGTGGTGTGCCATATGTACAGATTCCTACTACTTTGCTCGCGATGGTTGATTCTTCGATTGGAGGAAAGACTGCTATCGATTTAACTTATGGGAAAAATCTGATTGGCGCATTTTGGCAGCCAAAAAAGATTTATATTGATCTATGCTTTCTCAAAACTTTACCCGAACGTGAATTTATCGCTGGCATGGCTGAAGTAATTAAAACGGCAGCGATAAGTAGCGAAAAAGATTTTGTGAATTTGGAAAATGGTGTCAAAGCAATTCGAGAAGCAGTTTTGAATTCTGATAAAACGAATACTAAAGACCAATATCAAGGCAAAAATTATTAATTTAAATCAATTCTATTTTAATATCTAGTTGAATTATGATATACTTATTTTCGATTTGAATCTATAGGAGCTACAATTGCAACGCGAACTGAGTCTCAATCAATGCTTTTGTCTGTAATTCTTGCATCAGCACAGTTCAAAGCTAATATCGTGACAAACGATGAACGTGAAGGTGGTCTTCGTGGCCTTCTCAATTTTGGGCACACAATCGGACATGCTATCGAAGCGATCCTTACGCCAGAAATGCTTCATGGCGAATGCGTCTCTATCGGGATAGTTAAAGAGGTCGAAATTGCACGTAATTTAGGATATTTAAATCAAGTAGCGGTTGGTAGATTAATGCGATGTTTACAAAGTTATGGACTACCGGTTTCTTTAGATGAGAAAAAAGTAACTGATTTGGTTGGGAATAAATATTGTTCTGTTGATGGATTAATGGAAGCTATGAAGTACGATAAAAAGAATCAAGGAGACAAGAAAAAAATGGTAATGTTAACTAGCATCGGAAAAACCTTGGAGCAGAAAGCCACCGCAGTATCTGATGAGATTATACGTAAGGTTCTGTCACCTGCTATAAAAGTAATACCGTCCACCCCTATTCCAAATGTTGCGATGTCTACTTTGGGTTCAAAATCTATTTCAAATCGTGCATTAATTCTTGCCGCCTTAGGAGAAGGAACTTGTCGATTAAAAGGCTTATTGCATTCAGATGATACTCAAGTGATGCTGACTGCTTTACAAAAACTTGGTGCTGCGCAATTTGAATGGGAAGATAATGGTGATACGTTAGTAGTGATTGGTGGTGGTGGTGAAGGAATCAAAGTACCTGATAGTGAAATTTATCTTGGAAATGCAGGAACAGCATCAAGATTTGTGACTACAGTATGTACACTTGTAGATCATAAAAGTGTCACCGAGACAAAAACCGCTACAATTCTAACAGGGAATGATAGGATGAAACTACGTCCAATTGCACCACTTGTGACAACTCTTTTGGAAAATGGCTCAGAAATACGTTATTTAGAGAAAGAAGGCTCACTTCCATTAGAGATTAAGCCTTCAGTTGGAAGATTTCAAGGTGGATCAATTAATTTAACAGCTTCCGTTTCATCTCAATATGTCTCTTCAATTCTAATGTGCGCACCACATGCAAGTCAAACCGTTACACTGACATTAACTGGAGGGCAAGTGATCTCTCAACAATACATTGACATGACAATAACGATGATGAATTCTTTCGGGATTCAAATTGATAGACTTGAAAGTAACGTGTATCGAATTCAACGAGGGCGATACAAGAATCCAGAAGTTTACATTATTGAATCAGACGCTAGTTCAGCCACCTATCCTCTTGCTATTGCTGCTATAACAGGCACTACTTGTACTATTACGAATATTGGTTCCAATTCTCTTCAAGGTGATTCAGCATTTGCTGTAAAAGTTCTTGCTCCAATGGGATGTAAAGTAACACAAACTTCCATAAGTACAACTGTTAAAGGACCTCCGATCGGAACTTTACAGTCATTACCTGAAATCGATATGGAAAGTATGACGGATGCATTTTTGACAGCTTCAGTTCTTGCTGCTGTTGCCACCAAAAACACAAAGGCTGACGACAATATTACACGTATTGTTGGAATTGCGAATCAACGAGTTAAAGAATGTAATCGTATTGCTGCGATGGTTCATGAATTATCAAAATTTGGAGTCGAAGCTTTTGAATTACCGGATGGACTTGAAATTCACGGGAAACCAATTCAATCCCTTAAAACACCAATTGAAGGAGTTAAATGTTATGATGATCATAGAATTGCGATGAGCTTTAGTGTGCTTGGTTGTGTTGCGCCTGGTGGAACAATTATTCGCGAGAAGAAATGCGTAGAAAAAACTTGGCCAAGTTGGTGGGATGCTCTTGAAAAAGAATTAGGCGTTAAACTACAAGGAGTTGATCTTGGACCTTCAACAGAGCAAGATCATAATGAATCAAATGGTAATAATAAAGAATCTTCTATATTATTTATTGGAATTCGTGGAGCAGGAAAAACGACGCTAGGAAAAGCTGCGGCAAAAGCATTGAATCGTCAATTTATTGATATGGACCATCATTTTGAGACAACATTCAAGATCACACTCACCGAATATGTAGAAAAAGAAGGATGGGAAGCATTTCGTGCAAAAGAAACAGAACTACTTTCATCATTATTGAAAAATAATGGTTTTGGATATATTATTTCTTGCGGTGGTGGAATTATAGAAACCGAAAACTCACGCGAAATTCTACAAAAATATATAAATGAAAAGAATGGAATAGTCGTGCATCTAGTAAGGGACGTCGACGAAGTGGAAAATTTTCTTGAACAAGATAAAACTCGGCCTGTTTATGGAGAAACAGTACGCGATGCGTGGAAAAGACGTGAAAAATGGTATCAACAATGTTCTAATTACGAATTTGTTGCTGTTACAAAGACAGCAGTCGTGAATCAAAATGGTCAGGTTATTGACGGTATTTCTATCAACAACATCAATAATGATAATCAAGAAGACTTTGATGCGGAATGGGCTAAAGTAACGAGAGATTTTTGCCGATTCTTAAATTTCATTACAGGCAGAGAAACTAATCACGTGGATTTGAACAAAATTGAGAAAACATATTTCATCTCGTTGACTTTTCCTGATATTAGACCTGCACTACCGGAAATTGAAGTACTTACTAATGGTGCAGATGCTATCGAAATAAGAATTGATTTACTGTCTTCGTCATCTATTATCCATGTTGGTCAGCAATTGGCATTGTTAAGAAGATATTCTGAACTTCCAATTATATTCACAGTTCGCTCAATTGGACAAGGTGGAAAGTTTTCGAATAATGCTGAAGACGAGATGTTTAAGTTGTTGCAATACGCGATAAAATGGGGATGTGAATATATCGATTTAGAAATTACATCATCATCGCAAAAGATTGAAAAATTTTTGAGATCAAAAGCAAATAGTAAAATAATTGCTTCTTGGCATGATCTATCTGGTAATACGAAATGGAATGGAAGTGATATCAAAGAAAAATTTAGAATTGCCAATAAATATGGTGATATCATAAAAATTATCGGTACTGCAAGTTCAATATCCGATAACTTTCAACTGATGGAATTTATTCGATTTTACGAACAACAAAACAATCAAAAGAAACCAATAATTGCAATTAATATGGGCACTAAAGGACAACTTTCTCGTATTCTAAATAAAGTATTTACCCCTGTAACTCATCCCGCTTTACCAACAAAAGCAGCACCCGGTCAACTATCAATTGCTGAGATACATAAAGGTCTTCACTTGATCGGACTTTTACCCAAGAGAAAGTTTTATGTTTTTGGCAAGCCGATAACCCATTCACCGTCTCCGACGCTTCATAATGCGGGATTTGAAGCGTTTGGCATTCCGTATCACTACAGCTTGTTCGAAAGTGAGAATATTGCTGATGTTAAGCCAATAATTGAAGATTCGGAGTTTGGTGGTGCAAGTGTTACCATCCCATATAAAATTGATGTTATTCCGTTTTTGGATGAAACAAGTGAACATGTAAAAATAATTGGTGCTGTTAATACAATTATTGCGAAGGAATTGGATAAAGACACCAGTACTTCGACAAAAAAAAGAATACTCTATGGTGAAAACACCGATTGGTTGGGAATATTGGGTTGCATTAAAAAAATCAGTGTCAACAACATAAACACACCTCCCATTGGATCAGAATCGTCAGCTTTGATAATTGGGGCCGGCGGAACATCACGGGCAGCCATTTACGCATTACATAAACTTGGTATCCCTAAAATATATCTTTATAATCGTACTCACAAAAGGGCTACCGAATTGATATTACAATTCCCGTCGAGCTATGGACTGACCACAATTCAATCGCTTTCAGATTCTTTTCAAACTACTCCACCCCAAATAATTGTATCGACAATTCCTGCGGATAATAATCTTGAATTTCCTGATGAAATATTTGCATTTGGTAAACATGGAATTGTGGTCGAAATGGCCTACAAACCACGTCGCACTCAATTATTGGAAAAAGCGGAACGCGAGCATGGATGGATGGGCGTGGAAGGAATTCAAGTGTTGTTGGAACAAGGTTTCTGGCAATTCGAACTTTGGACTGGACGTAAAGCCCCACGTAATTTAATGACTCAAAAAGTTTTGGAAAAGTATCAATCATAATTTATATATGAAGGATATTTTAGCCAATAGAAAATTGTATTATTTGTTGTCATTCATAACGTTTAATTAGTAAGTATAAAGTTAAGCTCTTATTCCAAACAAATAAATGAATCCTCGAGAAAATAAAAATTTAATTAAAACGTCGCGAGAAAATGCCAAACTTTATTCGTGTAAAACCTAATGTTTTTATTATTATTTCGTCTTAATTAACCGCAGCTTTCCAGGCGAATATTTATAATTATCAGCATATGCCTTTACATGAAATACAGGTTCTTTTGGCTCCTGCACGAAATAATCCCAACCTTTATATTGAAGGATCAGATAATTAATATACGTTATAGATTGTTAGCTGAAACAATTAAGTGGTACCTTGTTTTTCTGCGAAATATATCGCATCCTCTTTAGTAGCAAATTTAATTTGCAAAGCTTGCACAGAATCAGCACTAAAATGAAATAATAATCAAAAAAAAAAGCCAATAAAAATCAGTCCAAAGTGAAGATTTTCTTTACCTGCTAGCCCAACCCATTAATGGATTTTCCCACCGGCCATTACCCTCCAATATATCAAAATCTATTCGCCAGTGTTTAGTATTATGTGTCCCCGATTGCATTGCAGTTTTGCTTGGCCTATATATGCGCACAGAACGATACCGAAGTCCTTCTGGCGCACCAGAGATAGAATCAGCTGGTATCACTTGTTTAAAGGTTTCAGTAGTTGTTACAGCTCCTTTGTCATCATTGTTGCTATTATTTTCATTTGTAGCTGTAATGCTTGTTGTCGTTAAAGTTGACCGCGGAAGAAACAAAGTATTGTTGGAAGCTAGCAGAGGACGAACTTGAAATGAGCGAAAAGAGCGCAAAAACATCATTCGGATGAAGTAAAAATTCTCGCATGTATATAAATTCGTCATCAGATGATATCATCAATTGGAATATTAAAAATTTTCGGTTTTCTTACTATTACTGTTTTTAAAAAAATGTTTGGCGATATGGATTTGGATCAAAATCCTATTCAGATTCTGAATGGACTGCAAGCGCGCGCTCCGCCTGAATTACAAGAATATTTTACTGTATTTGAAGACCTTTACGAAAGGAAGAAAGTGTTTTTTATTTATATATTATTATAAAATATAATAAAGCATTTTCATTTATATTCTTTTTTTTAATAGACTTTGGCATCAATTGACACTAAAAATTACAGAGTTTTTTGAGAATCCTGCTTCTGGACGTTTTCAAATAACTCTTTTTCAACACTTCATTTCTGATTGGGAGAGTAAAATGAATAAATTAAAACTTGTTACTTTAGGATTAAGTGCGGCCAAACAATATACTGGTCAGTTTGAAATTACGATTACTTGATGAATTTATATATAATTAAATTTATATTATTAGATCGATAGATTAGAAAAAAAGGATTGAACAAAGATGATTTGATTACATTAATCGAATTTCTTTGCGTTTGATTCAAATTAAGGACATGCGATTTTCTATTTTCCCATTTACTATTACTACTTTCAGATTATAATGCTGCGTTAGCTTTCCTCACTTCGCTTGTTGAAAAAGTGGACACACCGCAAACTCAAGATGCTTATGTGCACGCCGTGATGGAAACAGCCTACTTTAAATTGTTGTTACGTGATTTAGAGGGGACGAAAACGGCGATGGATCAATGCGAGAAAATATTGGATACTTTCGATTCTGTCGAGACTGTTATTCACGCGAGTTTTTATCGTGTGTGTGCAGACTTCTACAAGGTAAATAATTTATGACTCTCGTGAAATTGAATTGTCAAAATATTAAAAATGAATTAATTATAGGCCAAAGCTGAATATGCAGAGTATTATAAGAATGCTTTATTGTATTTGGCATGCATTAATCTCGAAAACTTAACAACGGAAGATAAAGTGGAGAGAGCTTATGATTTAGCGATAAGTGCACTTTTAGGAGATACGATCTATAATTTTGGTGAATTGGTAAAAATATTTACGGTCTTTTTTTAAGGTTTCTTTAATATGAATATATTTTAATATTAAAACATTTATTTCATATTCCAAAGTTGATGCATCCAATTTTAGAATCTTTAACGAATACACTACATGAGTGGTTAAAAGATCTCTTGTTTGAATTCAATAAGGGTAATATTGGAAAGTTTGAGGCTTTACAACCGCACTTCTCTAAACAAGTATTATAATTTATATTATTTTTATGTTCTTGTATATTTATGTATATAAATTCTCATTTACAATAATGTCCATATATAAAAATAGCCATTATTACAGGAAAGTATTGACTTTTTGCGACAAAAAATCTGTTTAATGTCATTGATTGAAGCAGTCTTCAAAAGAAGTTCTGATAATCGAACTATCCCTTTTGGGGATATCGCAGCTGAAACGAGATTACGCGTTGATGAGGTAAGAAAAAGAATAGAATAAAGGTTAATATAAAAAGATTACTTACCATTTAAATAAAAATCAAATAGGTTGAATATCTCGTAATGAAAGCGCTTTCACTTAAACTTTTAAGAGGATCGATAGATCAAGTTAGTGAGGTGGTGGTAGTAAATTGGGTACAACCGCGTGTATTGGGGCTTGACCAGATTGATGGGATGAGACAACGTTTGCAAGAATGGGATGAGAATGTGAAAAAGACTGCATTATTAGTGGAGAATGAAACTCCAGAGTTATTTGTACAATGATTTCTTATGTCGTTATTGGAAAAGATTATAGAATAAAAAATTAGACACATTATTGCATGTATATAATTACAAATTTCAAAGTAAATGAGTATATTAGTATTATGATAAAATTATTTTGCAATTATTACATCGTTAGTTTTGTACAAAAACTAATTTTTATGAAAAGATATAATTTAGTGTTCATATTAAAGTTATCGAATGATATCCGGTCGCGCGATGAAATTAATGGTATTATTATAGTTGAAGCGGTAATTATCCTTGTGTTTTTATACTTTTATTTAGCAGCTACTTGATTTTTAGGATTTTCGGGTCTAAAACAAAAAAATAAAATACGCAAAAGTTGGATTATAACTTAAGATTTGAACAATAATGTCAAATAAAACTTACGAATCCTTCCATCGTGCAGCAGCCATTTTGAAAGCCTCTTTATGGTCTAGACCAGGATTATCTGCTTTGACTTTTGGAAGTTCGCTTTTCATGTACATATTATAAGGACTTGGTTTTCTGGCTATAAATTGAATATTCAATGTGTGTTAGAACGGATAAGACTGCTATCCAATTTCACTAAAAGAAACCTACCAGCACCAGATTTTGTCGATATTTTAGTAGTCTTTTCTTTGGCCATTATATATATATATATGTTATTGAAGAAACGCAACAACTTATTAAATTGATATTGATTTTTCCAGAGATATAATGGTGGCAATAACAAGAGTCGTAGTTAATAATTTAATAATTGTGGAAGTATCGAAATTAAATGTCTGGATGAATGCAGAACACACAAAAGTGGTACCATTTATATAATTGATTCTTGTACTTTTGTGTTACGAAAATTGTTTACAATCTTTAGTTTTCTAATAACAAAAATAACGCGTCGCGCGCGCTCTTCACCTAATGAATATTTTGTTCACGTGGCTAGGTCTTCTAAATATGGGTTTGACCCAAAGATTATTAAAAAAAAATCATTCTTATCGTGTCAAGGCGTGCGCGTGACAACGCGTCTTTATTGAGCTAGTAAGTTAAAAAGCGGTGTTACCTCGTACTAATCCAACATTCATGCAAACATACATATTATTGGAATTTTTTATTATAGTAACTATAAGAAATTGCATTCATCAATGTTCTTTTCTTTTTACTGCCAGTCATTGCAAGACATTTCCTTTTTCTTTTGCCATTAGCATTACTATTATTAGACTCTTCAACATCAACTTGAGAAGATTGGGTGATTCGGGGAGGTTGAGGTTGATTGTCAATGTCATGTACTTAATAAGAGGACATTTCTTGCGGTATGACAAAGGAACATTGTTTGTGATTGTGTGATTGATTGATGAATCGTCGTTATATAAATGCTTATGGGAATTCGGATTTCATGAAATTTGTTATTGTTTGATATTGCGTGAACCGCGTCATTACAAATTGATGATTGAGTTGGAACTCGAATGTCGTCAAAGTGCGAAAGTGCAGATTTTTATTGAACCCGAGTATCATGATTTGCGTAGGATAAATTAATATCTCGAAAATTTGATTAGTGCGTCTCTTCTGGGATCTGAATCTCATCCGTTCGCGATATCGCAGCAATTGTTGTTTCAAGATTCTGTTTCTGTCAACATCTATTTCAGTTGATAGTTGCATTTAATAATTTTTTAGTTAAAATTTCGAGATTTCGGTCATCCACTCGATCCATGTTAATAGCATACGTTTCTTCCCGACTTATATCCAGCACTTTTAATCTATATTTAGTATTCCGAGATCTTCCACTTGTTTCGTGTCAATAATATTAGTATTAACTAATCCGGCTGAGATTCGAGAAGCTTTATCCACTTGCGTTGGAATTAGGGACAAACCATTTACATGTGAATGTGCCGGTGCCATATATAAAGATTCGAAACTTTCATCCATCTCAGCTGAAATTTCATCCAAGCGGTAAAATATTAGAAACTATCAAATGATTATTTCTAATTTCTACCATTTTAAAAGCATCTTCGACGTGTTCCATATTTGAATCAATATTACTGTTTTCATGAATGACCGATTTTTCGGTAGGCTCGCCTTGTTGAGTGTTCGATATAATAGTATCTGTTGATGTGTTCAAGTCCATTATAAAAAAAATATTTACGTGAGAAAAAGAAATAAATATGCGATACTTGCTACGCATATCTCAAAATTTCAAAATTTAAATTTTGTCCGAAACACAGAAATTTGTTGCAGATGACGCCATGCTTATGACTAGATAATAAATTTTCCATATCAATTATTCGGTTAATCGTGTCCAATTCATATCTTATGCAAATTAAAAATATTACTGATGAATTCAATATTTCACGTGTAAATGCCATCCCTATTCCAAATTATACTGTTTTGACGATTATATAGTGCACGCACTTAAAGACTGAAATCACATGATTTGTCCCCATTTTGAAAGATCAAAAGATTTAAAAAAGAGAAATACTAAAGTCGAATAGTGCAATCGGATCGAATCAATTCAGTTATGATCCGAATGGATTGGATCTGGATTGGCAAGATCAAATACAAAATAAATAAAAATTTTTATTAGAAAATAATATTACTTTCTTAAGAAAAAGAAAAGATAAAAAGTAAAATTAAGTACTATAATAAATGTTTTTATATGTTATTATCATTCTTATTTGATTAGACAAATTAATAAATCTAGTATTTAATTAATTAAAAATACTATATATTTTCAAATATAAGCTCCAAATATAAGTAATCATCTCTTTTTAAGATCTGAGATTCTGAAAATATTATATATAAAATATAATAAATTTATACTTGAATATAAGCAACTCTCTGCTCTTTATTAATAGGAATTTAAAAGATAGAATATATATTTAAGATAATTAATAAATAAATAATTAATATTATATTAAATAAAATAAATAATAAAGATAAGAATAAATAATTAAAAATAAAAATTAATAAAAAATAATAAAAAAATTATTAAAAATTAAGATAAAGAAAAAAATCATAATAATATAATTAAATTATAAGATTAAGAATAAGAATAAATTAATTATAAAACTTTTTTCTTAAGAGTTTTACTTTATAAAATTTATATAATAATAATTGATTAAATTTAATATAAAGCTTGAAATAATTTCTATTATAAGAGTTTTTAAAATTTTATTATCTAAAATATATAATTTACAGTTCCTGGCAAAAGTAGTGGCGTGTAACCTTTTCATCTATATTTTAATAATGAAATATTCAAAACTCACGAAAGTTTGTAGATATATTCTTTAGGATATTACAAACAAGATTCTCTAATAGCGCAAGGCATGTTAGCTTAATAAAATTTTGCGGAATTTTGCGTCAAATGTGTTGGATTA